GTAAATTTAATCTTAATAAAATGCATGATTTCAGGGGTGCGTTATACAAGAATCAATGGCAAATAACATATCCGGGAATAGAAAACAAATCGTCAAATATTTGCGAGGATTGAGGCCGGGCTCTATTATTCCTATAAATAGTATTATTTTAGATTACAATTTGACAATCCGTCCGTGGATATCGAAGCAACACATTTAAAACAGGATGGTCGAGGCGGAGAGAAGATAAAAAAAAAGTAATAGAAACCGAGGAACACTTTGAAATGTGATTCGTGACCAGCCAGACGAAGTTCCACTGGAGTGACGAGAGAGTATAAGTAAACGAGCAGCAAGGTAGACTGTTCGACTACCTAATAGTTATCCGGTGAGCGTATTTCATTTTGTTCAATTTACTTCATTTCAAACGCATTACATATGTCGTAGATAAAAGTGTGATTTTGAAACACTTACTTTGAGATATATTACTATAAAATTATAAAATTATTATTATTACTATAAAAGATGCCTTTGATGGCGGATCCGAACCATCACAAAATAATAATAATAATAAAATGGTTAATAAAATAAAATTGTTGTAGACGGGTGGAGACGTCTTACGACAAATAAATAAAAACAAAATGTTGTAGGCGGGCGGAGACGTCCTATGACAAATAAATAAAAAAAAATGTTGTAGGCGGGCGGAGACGTCCTATGACAAATATGTTATGAATGTTCGTGTGATGCCCCCAAAGCCATGTAGCTTAGATAATTGGACGTGATATTATGACCATCTCAAAGTTGTGTTGTAGTAAACAACGTTACCCATACGATAAAAAAAAAAAAAAATTTGATATTCATAATTGTAACAATATAAAGTTATCTAGGGTTACTGTGGAAGTACCTAGACTACAAAAGCATTTATCTTTTATCACAGAGCAAACATCAGTATGACCGTATCGGCATGACTTCGGAAGATGAAGCATCAATTCTTGATCCTGTCCCATCTACTTTACGAGACGCGCGACTGGTCCAAGAACATAACGAAAACCAACCAAGAAAGAACACATAACCAGGCAGGTGCAGAGCACGCACCGCCTGTCAGAATGGCCGTATCGGCGCTACCAGCTTTAATAACGGATGCGACTTGAAAATAATTAGAGGCTGCCATCAATTCTTATTAAACCTCATTAGTATTTATGATTATTGTTAAAAGTAAAACGAAATCAAAAGAGAATAGAATTATGTTTGAATCAAAAATATGACGTCTGGACTCACGACGGCGGACTCCAGAATTGAGAATTCAGCATTGAGAATTCAGAGTTCAGTGAGTGCGCATCATTGAAGTATGTGATTGTGAGGAACCTTCTAGAAATATAGGAGCATTAAGAACAATTGCAGTTTCATTTTAAAATATCATGCAACGCTCTAGAAGAAGTGACATTTGTAACGGCAGCTAGGCTGGCGTCCCTCTCTTTAAAAACAACGAATCTGTAATAAATCCGACATATATAATAGCGTATTTTATCTAGTAATATAGAATTTTTTACTATTCTTAGATGTTACGAGTTACGCCTATATTGCCGAGTATTTGGAATTCTTATTTCTTCAGATTATTTGTATTCTGCATTCTGTATTCTGTATACCATTGAAGAATATTTAATAAAATATCATAATAAATATCAGATTAAATGGAACAAAAAAGTTATATAAATCAATTCTTTGTATTACATTTAAAACGAAATTTACATATTTCTCTCGTTATAGAATATAGATTATTGGATTTTATATTAATTTTATAATTGTTTAAGTCCAAATACTTGACTATAACTCAAAAAGGTGGTGATTATGCTTTCTGGGAAACTAGTTATGGTATCATATTAAATGCTTATTTGAGACTGTTAACTGAAATTTACATGATCAATTTTAAAATCCACTCTTTGATGAATGAGTTTTATTCACTACCTTATTGTTCTGATATTATATATTAATTTACAGAGTGAGGGTGAAAACTAAAATGACTATTTAACTAGAATGATGGAATTGTCACAAGAAAAACCTTAAATCTCTATTTTATGTGTGCGAAATAGCTACACTCCATTAACCAAGAGAAGTTCGAATAGATAAATAATAAAAATAAAAATCACTCAAAAAACTACGATTGTTATATTTCTCAGATTCATATTATGTAATATCTTTAAATATAAATTTTCTGTGAGTGTGTATATCACTGAACCTCTCTCAAACGACTGGACCGATTTTGATGAAATTTTTTCTGTGTGTTCAAAGGGATTTTGTCCGCTGGACAATGTTTTTTTAATTAATTTTTAATTTATTAGTATTTGTTGATACAAACGTTTTTTTTTTGACATTATATTTGACAACTAACTTATATGTCAATCATTCTGTCGCAATTCAAAACACGGAGATTTATGGCTTTAATAGGTAAACTCCAAAAATATAAATAAAAAAACGTAACAGATATTTCTTGATTATAGGGCGATACGAAGTTTGCCGGGTCTTCTAGTGTACGTATATTATTTTTATTTCCTTGAATTGCGATTTTTTCCGTTTTGGTATATGATGTTATTTCTTTGATTTTATAATGCACTTAAATCAATAAATCTCATTAAATACTTTTATATAGAAAAATTTACAAGCTTTATCAGATTACAGTCAAGCCTAATATCATTAAATTGATCTCAGTAATTATAAAGTAACTAGCGACCGTTTTATTTATTAATTGTGATGAGAATTATTATTAGATTAATATTTCTTAACTGTTATTGCTTTAATCTTGTTGTATCGGTAAGGCAGTTTATTTTTCATTTCCTAAAATACGGTTAAATTTTAATCTTTAAACAAAATTCAGCTAGATCATTAAAATGCCCCGAAATCAGCACCATTGAAAGTTTCATGAAAATCAATGAAAACTTTTTCTCGATTATATGTTTGTTCACATACTTAAGATGCTCGGACAAAGTTATTTCAGAATGTTCACAAGAATATAGACCAAACCTAATAGAGGTCAATCTTAAAAAGATGAGATCAAATATAAGTTTGAATAACTCTTTGGTACTATTACTATTGTTCAGTGGTATAACTTTCCATTATTAAAAGTACCTACATATAATCCAAAACTAACATTTAAATATATTTACATATATGTATATTATATACAATTGGTAAGATTTTACATATATATATGACACCATGAAAACTATTACTAATTCTATAGGTACATTAAATACTAATGAAAATGAAAATGGCATGGCATGACGACCATTTCATATAAAAATTTCTTTGTAAATGGTTTTAACATTTGTATTTACGGAACAATCCGCAATGGTTTTACATAACAATTTCAATGTATTTTTATACTATAGAATAACAATCCATTTGCAGTCGTGACTTTTAGTCATAAAATAAACAACAAATTTGCAATCACATAATTCCCGGTCTGACAAAAGCTCCGTCAAATAGATTTGCGTAGGCTTCAAAACAATAGCGCATTTCGCTGTAGTTTATGTAGTAAAATATTGCTCGTAACAGTCGTAAACTAACATGAATGATAGTCATAAAAACTTTATAATTTTCATAACATTAATTTATTACAAATATTTAAATGATACTCATATTTTCGGGATTTTACAGTGCGTTTTTTTGTAAAAATTATAAACTCTCGACGTTTCGGTTACTTTTTAGCAATCGTGATCGAAAACGAAAATAATGCGATAAGATTAAAAAGAAATACAACTAAGATCTCGATATAAACAATAGTTATTAAAACCCCACTGCTATTCAAAGTTCATTAGATCAAGACATACGTATACTGAAATAAAACTATACGCAATATCATTGTGAATGAATATATAAATTGCAATCTGAGGTTTAATAATAAAAAATAGGTTTGGGTACTATTTTAAGTACATTTGCATTTTTTTTTGGAAAATTGAACTAAAATCAACGTTGAATATTTAATTTGACCTTCATATTTTTTTAATTTTTAAAATAAGCAATATAAAAACTACCTGTCTGAATAAATGGTTTTCTGAGTGTTGCTGTAGATAGATTCGTCTAGTGGGAACCCCCATAAATTAACTCAGTTCTGTCAAGTTTGCAGTCGGGAAAGTAACATAGATCAGTAAAAATCTATAGATCAATAAAATCTTAATCTATAGATCAATAAAAAAATGTTAGACTTTATCTAATTTAATAGAAGTTGAAGAAAATAAGCAAAAACTGATTTCAGACAAGAAATAAAAGGTAAAATCTATATTTAATTATCACAAAGTAATGCTTAAATATACATATTTTTGTTAGTTCGTAATTATTATATAATTATTTTATATAATAGATCTATTAAAATCATGAATTAATAGATTTTCATGCAGAAATTGATAAAAATATACATAATTTGAAGATAAAATGAAGTAGTTGTTACCCTTATTTTGTATTTGTTAGTAAGATCATTTTATTAGTAGATTTTATGATAAGAATAACTCACCAATAAACAGCAAACGATTTGACTACTTTGAACTTCGAAGACTCCATCGCGAGTACTGTAAGAGAATTAAAAACAATATAATATATACTTTGTACTTCTTAAATGTAACTTTAGTGAATCAAGCGCCGACTTGATAATAATTTATCAGGAAAGATTGTATGCTTACAAGGACTAAGGAACTTTAAAAGTATTTAAAATATAGTATCTTTATATAAAATTTCCTCACAACTGTTGATATGTAACTCAAGATCAGTTATGTCGTGAGTCAGTCAATAACTCTCTGTTCCACTAAGTTCAGTGTTATGTTCTCAATGACACACTGACTACATCAAGTTATCATGGACTATGGAGTAATTGATATTAATAGTGATTTGATATTTACGATGACATTCCATGAGAAGTCATATATATTATTTAATAAGAGTAGTTTATCGCAACAAATAAGTAACAATTGTTTTTTTTTTTATTTGAAACCATAACAAGTTAGTTTATATGTAGTAAAATGTAGTAAAATCAGTTGGACGATCAGTTGGTCAACCAGTTGGTCGATCAGTTGGTCGATCAGTTGGTCGACCAGTTGGACGACCAGTTGGACGATCAGTTGGACGATCAGTTGGTCGACCAGTTGGACGATCAGTTGGACGATCAGTTGGTCGACCAGTTGGACGATCAGTTGGTCGACCAGTTGGACGATCAGTTGGTCGATCAGTTGGACGATCAGTTGGTCGATCAGTTGGTCGATCAGTTGGTCGACCAGTTGGACGATCAGTTGGTCGACCAGTTGGACGATCAGTTGGTCAACCAGTTGGACGATCAGTTGGTCGATCAGTTGGACGATCAGTTGGTCGATCAGTTGGTCGATCAGTTGGTCGATCAGTTGGACGATCAGTTGGTCGACCAGTTGGACGATCATAAATGCTTATAAATTTATATTCCTTGCTTTAATTTTCCTTGTTCTGTTTATCAGATTAGCTAATTTCATAATTTATTAAACTAATTCTGATATTTTATTTGAGTTTTACTATGTAATAACATTTTAGTATATTTGAGATAAATACAGTTTTACTTGGCAGGAATATAAGTACATATGTACTTGTATAAATATCAAAATTACTTTGAGTATTCTTAATTATTGTATTAATAATTATCGTTTATCATACTTATATACCATAACTGACAAATATCAAACACTTTTCGACATTTTTTTCTATTTTTCATAGCATTATAATTCAATTCCACCATAAACATTTCCATAATGTTTTCGCTTTTATAAGATGACACATGTGTTATGACAAATTGATATTCTCGTACAATAACATAGAAAAAGGAGGAAAGGGAAACAGAAAAATATAACTAGAAATGTTTATACATTCAAGAAAGAAATAGCTATTTGTTTTAACACAAATATTTTTTATAACTTGTACATACGTAAATATAGTTCTTCTATGTAAAGAAACATTTTGTTTTTGTTCCGGATTTTCAACTCACTATAAATTATTTAAAAATCTTTCTTAAACAATTAATTACTAAGTAATTTAAGACATTTTAGTAGATATATTTATTAAGAACAGTTTAAACAACCTTAAACATACGTTTCGTGATGTCTTCTATATTTTAACATAAATTTGATACTGTTAAACTAATTCCTAGTTTATATAAATAAAATATTCACAATTATATCTTTACAACTTGGTGTTATGAAATTATTATTTCATATTTTATTATGATTCTTAACGTTTTTCGTTATTTTTTCATACGCTTGTTACATTACATTACATTGGTCCAACGACTGCCTTGTCACTTAAAGAGAACACCCACGTAAAAGCCTTAAAAAATTATTTATAGACGCAGTAACCGGTAACTAAAACTAAGAAATACCTAATGTTTATAAAATAAAGTATTAATGTTGTAAATAAATAAAAAAAAACTGGTTTATTTTAAGGTGACGTTTAAATATATTCTGTGTTTTAAAACTATTTTTAATACATAATTCTATTGCTTTATTGCACGGATGATATTCCTATATCATCACATATAAGTCAAAGTGTGTTAGAGTTGTGGAGATTGAATCTGAGACAAAGTTATTATAGGAGCTAGACCTCATATTAGTAAAATATATTGGACAGGGAACAGTCGACATTGTGATATAGAATGAGAACAACATTGTGTAATACTTATATGAATATTTTACTGCTGAGGCTAATACTGCCTACTGATTCACATTTAATAGTAGGTAGGAGGAAATGAGATTAAAAGCAATTGTTTCATTCTCCTTTTCCAAAAGAATGTACTTATTCTTCCTTAGCCCTGACAAAAAACGACACCAATTTCAGAATAGGACTTCTACGTATATGCATATTATATTCCGCCTCTAGAACAGAATATAATATTTTTTCCAAAATAGTTGAACATATTTCATTTTATGTTTTTATGTTGTTGTATTTATACGCGGTAGAGGTGGGAGAGAGAGGTATAACAGCTAAATCTCTCTACAATCTACTGAAAGACTTGGGCCTGTCCAGAACTAACATTATTTCATTCTTGGAACGTACGTCGAAGGCAGACCTAGTAGGTTCCTTTCAAATTTGGTTAGGTAGAGAGAGGAGCTTGGACAGTGGAGGTGAGCGTATAACGCGCGTTAGATAAGGGGCCCCTTAAACCTACACTTGGGTCGCAAGTCCCAGTCACTGTTGAAGCTCCTCTCCATGCAACACGATGGACCCGGCATCCGCACGGTGAATCCATTGAATTCTAAGAGGTTTCGTCTCTTCGTCATATTTTCTTCCAAATTTTTATAAATATTTTAAATGACATTGCACTTTACAAAATTAGCTGATTTCATCTTAAAGACACCACATAATATTGTAACATAATATAGCGTTATTTAAACCACAAAGTTCTGTTAAACTAAATACATTTAATTTTATATTAACCAAGAGTTAACATGCCGTAAGTACCAAAAATTAATCAGAGTAGTGTTAAGTCAAATTAAAAGAATACAGACAGATAAATCTCTTGACTTTGTATTTGACGTCTTGACAGAGTTATCTACTCGTGAAACCGAGCTGTGAAATTGAACTAATTCCTTATATGAACTGAATCGACAAGGATAATACTGAACGGACTTTATTAATATAGTTTTATTGTAATAAATTAACAATAACGATTGGTTATGTCCAGATGGATAGTACTTAATTATTTATCGAATGCTACAGTCGAATAGATAGTGATTTAATTATTATTATTTATATTGTATATTGAAAATGAGTATCGGCATAATTCATAACCATTTTAATGTTATAAATGATTCCTGTTATATTTAATATTAAAAGAGGGATAGAGAACACAGGATTGACACAAACATTATGATCGCTTACATCGGAAATGAAGTCAAAATTTAATTTATCAATAAATAAAATCATATAATTTAATACTATAATATACCTTTCGGTATTTCATTCCCAATTTTTCTTAATGTATATAATCAAAACCAACTTCCCTACCAATTTTCTATTATCCTCCAAATAATCCCAATGAGATCGTCTGTGAATCAAACTAACAAGTCATTTCTAATAAAACAAGTAAAATTCTCCAACAACAAATAATTTTCTAGAAGAAATTTTAACTTTCAAATGTTTCACGAACTTCTCAATTCAACACCAAAGTTTAGTTTACTTTAAGGACATATTGTAATTGTAATTTTACCCGTAAAAGCCTGATCTCCATCTTTTTATCCTTTTCGTATTTTCCACCGTACTAACCTTTCAATATCTTAAATAGACAGTCTTTCTCGATTTCCAAAAGGACGGTTCTATAAGAAAAATCTTGTAAAAGGATTACAACAGTTCGATGAATAAACCGAACATCAATATTTACAGTTCGACGGGTCACAGATTGCGTTTCTGAATAGTTGAGGTTGAAACGGTACAATTATTTTGAACAATTTACAACAAAATATTAAATAACTTTTATTTATCTTATGAGCGAGGGTAATTGAAATTTTAACTAATTCGCTTATTTAAGATCGTTACTAATTTTTAGTTAAAATATATAAAAATAACAGTTTTAAATACAAACCACTTTCTCACAAGGTATTAGTGTTTGATTTTGTATAAATGTGACAAATATAGACGAAATTATGACAATGTGACATTTTTGTCATTTTAATAATATAAATATACTAGTTTTTGCCCGCGACTTCGTCTGCGTTAGTTTCAGAATTAGAAATGTATATCTGACTGAGTGAACTCTATTCCTTCTTAAAGATTTTTTCTCGGCGGCATCGTAGCGTAATTAATCAAAGTGAGAAAATTTCTCGCTCACTTGAATAACTGACATATTAGTTAGTTGTCAAATCTAATGTCAAAAAAGCCGTTTGTATGGGAAATAGAAAAGGGCCGTTTTTAGGGTTTTCCCAGCAATGAATCAATATTTTTCAGCTTTTATACCTTCCCTGAACCTCCACGAACATTTCAAGACTAAGGTAAGATAAATCAGTTCAGCTGTTCTCGAGTTTTAGCGAGACTAAGGAACAGCAAACCATTTTTATATATATAGAAGATGTAAATCTATATTTTCATTTATGAATAGTATTCATGGTGAATGAAATAAATAAAGTTACTAAATATTATTAATACTATCTGTTGCACATTACTAGATATGAAGAGTTAACAGGTGTCAGAATAGCAATGTTTGAGCGTCTATACTGAAGCTTAATTCTATTTGAATGTTTAATTTTGTTCATTTTCAGATGAATACGGTACGTTAGTTAAGTAAATAGTTCTTGATCTTATTCTGCTTTAAGCTTTTTATTTTATTCGCTGATGAAATATTACTTAGTTTTTTTTTGTTATAATTTCAGGAGAGTATCATGTGCTAGATTTATTTATAAATTATTTTGTATGCCATAACTTTAAAGTATAAATATTATGTATATTTTTACCAAAGACCTATCGAGGTGTACTAGGTTAATTGTCACGTAGTAATAAATAATAATAAATAAAGTTATAAGACAATAGGGTAATACTTTTATGTTATAGGTTTATAAACAGTCAAATACTAACTAATTTGATGGAAATATTTTTACCTCTCATTTTTACACAAAAAAAAAATCAAAATACTTTATGATATTTGTCTAATTTAGAATTTCCTTCAATCTGCTTGAGAAGTTACTCGTCTACGCGGTTAAGTCACAAACGTTTTGCTATTTGGAAGTTTTAAGGGAGTTACATTATTGAATAGATACAGGCCTAGTTCGATGAAGTGATTGAAAATTCCATGTATCTACTACATGCCAACCCTATATAATTCGGAAACTATAGTTTAAGGACTAATAATATAAATATTCTTCATTATAAGCCAGTATTGTAGCAACTATTTTTCTTTCAGTTTACAATTACTGTTTAAAGTCTTTTTTAAATGATAGTTTGTTCAACCGTTACTTATTTCCATTGATTTTGCCTGTGTTTGTCAATTATATTTTTTAGTTAAGTTAAATTACCTTACTTTTTTGTTATAAAAAAGTAGACTAGAAGATATAGGGTTTTCGAGCTATTTAGGAAAAGCAAAATTGTTTTGACTACCGATTCAACTTCTCGTAGAAATATATGACTTTTTATAGATAGTATTTTACACAATACAAATTTATTTTACTAATTTGTTGTTATATTATTATAACTTTCCAAAAATTAAGATTAGATATAATTTAACATTCTAAGAGCCATGCCTGAGCACAATTTACACCTACTGTTAATTTCATTCAGTTCTTAATTGTTGGTTTGTGACGTGATGTTTGATTAAACAACCGTTTTAGAAAGACCTCTAGATAGAAATATAAATGTCACACGAATAACCAGCAACGAATACTCTGAACGAGCTTTGGTTCAGGAAAATAAATGTCCAGTGTAACAGGACCGTGTAAATCTC